CACCCACTTTACAGATGAGCAAATGAAGCCTAGAAAGCTTAGGTCACGTGGCCCAGGGTGCACATTCTGTACCTAAAAGGCCATCCAAGCAGACTGGCTCCAGAGCCGGTCACAGTCAGGGCCTCCCGGCCCCCGAGAGCCTGTCCACATGACAGGGAGCTTCTCCCACCCAGCCCCTCTCCTCCCAAAGTGATCACACAAGCTACTCACACTCCATTCCCCCGAGGAGCTGAGCTGGTGGGTCAGGCCCGCTGAGCAGGGAGACTCACGGTTCGGATGGTCAGCTGGCCAGGAGGTGGGCACTCAGCACTGGGCTTTCCCACCATTCCATGCCAATGTCCCTTCTGAGAGCTGGGGGTGGAAGACTGGACGGCACAAACCCTGCTGCCCATTAAAGCGCCTCCCACGTGGGGCGCGCGGCCATCTGAAGACACCTTGTTCTGCTCCATTTGCTTTAAGACACACAGGTGGCCTGAGTTCCTAGAATGTGGTGCGACAGGCGGGCTTCAAAAGGCCAGCTGCTCTCCTTGGTCTTGAGGAGGAACCAAGGCTGACAGTGGGAGGCCTAGAGCTGCTCCTGGGAACAGGAGGACACACGGATACGGGCCAGAAACCCCCTCCAAGACCCCACTGGGACCGACATCCGCAGAGGGGCTGCACGTGTGTGTGAGGGCTCTGCCCAGAGTCTGTCCAGTTGTGCAGTGCACAGGGGCCGCCTGGGTTCTCTGCTCCCCGTGTTCCACCCTCTCCTTCCTTCCCTCCACGAATGACCCCACACACACCAGGGAGGACGCTGGCAGGCACATTTTGTGGGTGGCAGTTTTCACRTGCACGTGTCCCAGAGCCAGGTCCAACACCATTGTTCTCAGTAAACAAMAGGAACAATCACCACCTAGGAGGGTTTTTGCTTCCTCATATTAACGTGGGTAAGAAGTTTGTGGTTTTCAGATTCAACTTGTATTCTGAGGTCCCCACACTCTGCCTAGGYGCCAGGGTGCTCTGCCTCGCAGGTGTGACGCCAGGCTGGAAGAGAATCAGAGCTCCTGATACCCGGAGACCTGGATYTGTCCCACGAATGTTTGCTCCTTTCTGTTTAGTGAGCTCAGCCCCTGGGTAGGCTGAGCTGAGCTACAATTGTCCCCCACATTTAGAAAGTATCTGATTGAGCTGAGGCTCCATACACAAAAGGGGTGCACTCTGCCTCCCTTCACGACAGTCTCCTTTCTGGTCCGGGCGTCCCCTGTCCTCTGCCAGGCCCCAGGCAGGCTGACTTGTTAGCTCCTGGCTTAGAGGCGATCAGGTTGCACACCGGGCCTCTTCGTCCCTCCTTTTTGTGTTCCCTGCTCATGAGCCACCCCCACCCCAAATTCTGCAGGGGTCCCTCCACACTGAGAAGGAGACCCGGAGCTCACGGGGCAGCTGCGAGACCTACACAGAGCAGCCCCTGCCTCTGTGGGACTGCCTCCCACGCCTTCCTGGCCCACCCCCTTGAGCCACACCGGCCTCTGGGCTGGTCCCCAGGCTCCCAAGCCCGGGAACCATGTGTGGACTATCCACCCTGCCCAGAACGCCCTTCCCACAGACTCAAGGCCTGTCCTTCACTCAAGTCAGGACGCTGCGTCCAATGCCAAGTCCACGGAGAAGCCCCTCTGCATGGCCCCCACCTTGGAACCCCTCACCAGCTGCCACCACCACCGGACAGGGTCATGCGGGGCTGAACGGAGATGCAGCCGAGTCCCTCGTCCCCACCGTGCTCCCTGAAGAGGGACCACACCCCGCCTTTAAGGACTGCCCTGAAGGCAGGCACCGTGCCCACTGAAGGGACTAAGAGAAGTTCAGCAACGGCCGCTGGTCCAACCCCTCAGCCCAAGGTCGTGCACAGAAGTGTCGCAGTGGAACTTCCAGGGCCTGCCTGTGGTTGGGGACCCTCCCTCTCCCATCCCTGCAGGTCTTTCTGGAGGCATTCGGAGCCCAGGGGCCCGCCACAAGGCCAGGCCTCCTCCAAGTAGAAACAGCTTGCTTGTTGTTTACCACAAGATGGGTCCCCAGGTGGGGCCCAAGTGGCCCATGTTGCAGCCACTGCACGGCAGGCGTCCATCTCGGCCTTCTGCCAGACCCCTGGGACTGAGGGACACAGGGAAACAGCTCAGGCCACCTGTAGAACAGTGAGTACAAAGTGCCTGCAGTCCCTGGCCTCAGGGGCAGGGGTCTTGTGTCTGCGGCCAGCTGCCATGAAACAGCCCAGGCTGGGGGACTAGCTGGTCGGTGCACACAAGCAGGGCCAGGCTGTGCCCCTCCACACGGAGAACAAAACCCGAAGCTCTCGTGGCAGCTGCGAGACTCCTCCACTCTCCACACAGTAAAGCACTGTACTCTGGGTGGTCTGGCCCTGTTGAAGGAATGACTTTCCATCCCTCTCCTCCCCKGGTGACCTCCCGTCTGAGCACCCTGCCCCAGGACCCCGCCTGGCCTGGCCCTCTTCCTCCTTCCAGGATGCCCACGAGTCGGATGTCCCTGGGGGACAGGCCAGGAGTGGAGTTTGACTGAGGGGAGGGATGTCCGCCCTGGCTAGTGAACACCRCCCAGTGGAGCTGATGACCTGGGGCAGATGTTGGGGAAAGCAGAAGACACAGAGAAGCAGACACTTTTGCATGTTTACATTTTGTGATGGCGAGGGGCTGAGCCCAGGGCTCTCCGACCCACCGAGAAGGAGCTCGGGTGGAGCCGCGCCGTCCTTGGGGGCGCGGGCACACAGGGTCTTCAGTGCTGTATTCTCAGCAGGATGCCCCTGCCCTCTCCTCTCGGTGGCCCACGTGACATCAGGTAGATGGACAGAGGGCAGACCCAGCGGTGGTCGCAGAGGACGGAGCGCGGCCGACCGCTGGGCAGGCTGCCCCTCAGGGACCAGCCGCCCCTCAGGGACGAGCCGCAGGACTGGGCTTCGCCCCTCCCAGGGCTGCAGGTTTCAGAACATTCCTTATGAGAAACTTGAAGGAGCTCACAGACCAGTGACCAGGCAGAATTGCTTTCTGATTATTATTTTTCCAGCTGAATGAGATTCAGTTAGTGGAAGGCTTAATAAGCCCTTCTGGGCCCCGAAAAAAGAGCCATTCTGCTGCCTGCGGAAATGAGTTTCTGGTTGTGTAGCSGCAGCCCTGGCGGGGAGGCGACGAGGGCCTGCCGCTCTGGGGGCCAAGGCAGGACTGCGAGGCAGTGCCCACTCACGGGGCCTCTCCGCGAAGTACACAGCTCTGCAAACCCAAGGGGAGACGACGGAAGAAGGCTCGTCCCCACGCCTGCGGCCGAGGTTTGGACGCCAGGCTAATGGCATTTCGGGGTCCCAGGGAAACACATGGATGCCTCCACCTCTCTGCGTCATCTTCTGAGGCTCAGCGAGGGGAAGGATCAGCCCAAGGTTGTGCATGGACTGCAGAGGCGCGGAGACAGAACGTGGGCCCCTGACTCCCTGAGTGCGTCCTAGCACGCCCAGCCCCAGGGGCTGCCCACAGGAGCCTCCAGGTGCCAAGACCTCCATCTGCCAGAGGGCAGAACGGAGCCCACCACCCAGAGCCTCAGTCTGATGGCCACATCAGGACAGGTCTGCACGCCTCTGCACCCACTGGCCCCCTGGACTCTGCCTGCCAGACCTCCCTCCCCGAGGCCAGCCTGAGGTCAGCCAGGCAGCCTGTCCTGTGGTTGACAAATCCRGGCTCTTGCTCTGCTTAGAAAGATGGGCCTGAAACAGTGGATCACAGCGTGCTGCAGGGGATTAAGACAAGCAGCTTCCTGTTAGAGAGGCACCTTGCTCTCCCTGCTCCACTGCCTGAGTTTTCTTGGAACCCAGCCCCCACTCTGCCCACACTCCTACAGGCCCTGGGCAATGACAGGAGGAGGAAATAGAGAGAGGAGGAGCTGCTGTGCAGGTGGAGGGCCGAGGCAACCGAGGCAACCAGAGAAGCAGCGTGGGATGGCACCCTAGGTGTGCGCCGGCCTCAGGGCCTTAGGACACACTGCTCCCTGTGCAGGAATCTGCCCTCCCCGGAAGGAATCACGGAAGGAATCCACGGGGCTGGCTCCCTCTCTGCACTCATGGCTCTGCCCAAATGCCCTCCCTGGAGAGGCCTGGCCACCCTGCCTCAGAACTCTGCCCTCGGCCCAGCTCTCAGCACACAGAATGACTTCACCACCCGGCCCCTGCTGAGCACGGCCCTCAGCAGACACTGTGGACCAAAGGCAGAGGGCCACGACGCAGCAGAGCCTCAGGATCCGGGGAGCAGAGCCTGTTCCCGGCTTGTGCATCACCAGCAGCGGTCACCTTKGTCACCTTCGGGCCCCAGAGCCCTCACATGGAGGACCGAGTGATCATCATGACAGCCACGAATCAGCCTGGACAGCGTCCCGCRGGAGCCAGTGACTCTGGTCTCTGACCCTGTGTTGGAGGCTTTCGCCTCGTGGCTGAGCSGACTGACAGATCAGCCATCCTGGGGGTGGGGGAGGGCAGGACCCAGCCCACGGACTTCCTCTGGTTTTTGCCAAAACAACAAAACCAAAAATCCAACGAAACCACCCTGTGGCCAGTGAGGGTGGCAGGCCCTGCCCTCTGGGCTCCTGTGGCTGGGCAGGGTGAGGCCTGGCCCCGCTGTGAGCCGGGTTCCTAGAGAGGCTGGATCCTCAGAAGGACTTTTCGGGTGGGTGAACTTGGGCCTCTACTAGCCACCAAGGGCTCATTCCTGAGCAGATACCCAAGGGGCACAGGGCGACCTGTATCTAGCACAACCCCCTTCTCAGCTCTGAGCCCTGGGGCTCTTCTCTGTCCACCCAGAAGCCTGCATGAGCTCACCAAAACAGGACAGTCCCAGGTGACCCCTGTGGAGAGTCCGTCTTTTGGTGGAAGGGGACAATCAGTTCAACACAGTTTTAGGCCAAGAAGTAAGGCAATCCAAGAGCACGGCTTCTGGAGTCAAAGGGAGCTGAGTACAAATCCAAGCTCTGCTACTTACCTTCTGTGTGACCTCAGTGAAGTTCCTTAACCTTTCTGAGCCTCAGTGTCTTCATCTGAAAAACAAATGAAATGTTCAGAATTACCACCAGGAGAGACAGTTTCTACCATGTRCTCGACTCAGACAGACAGACAGAGTCAAGGTTTTCTGCTAGTGAGGTGGCCTGGCCCTATCAAGAGCCCTGGAGAGAACAACACAGTTACCTAAAGAGCGCTGGGCGGGAGCAAGCAGGCCTGCCATTCACACTTCCTGTCCCARAGACAACAGGAAAGCTGGTATTGCACACTTGAGCTCTGAGACCACTTCCTGTTCTGAAATGCTAATTTGGAGTGCCCACCCCAAGGGCGTCACCCAACCTATGAAGCTGGGGTTGGCGGAGGGAACGGAGCATAGCTGTCCCCAGAGGGGGGAGTGACAAGCTGAGCAGACAGAACACGGGCGGAGAGCGTGCCCCCTCTCCCGGGCCCCATGTGTGTGGGCACCTGGCTGAGCCCATCCATGCACACCCAGCTCACAGCTGCCCTAGGGGCAGCCCAGCCTCCCCTCTGCAGGGAGGAGGCCAGGGGAGGCTGAGCACTGGCTGGCTCCTGGCAGTGAGGGCGGGACTGGGGTCGAAGTCCCCAGGCTCCCCCCACAGAGGTGCCTGCAACAGGGCTGGTGGCAGGTCACAGGTCACCCTGGGGCAGGAGCAGGCAGGGATACTCTAACTGGCAGGAAACAGGCAGCTACGCGCCCCACTGAGGGGGAGAGCTGGGGTCTGAGCACTGGGCGGGGGCGACTGTGGTCTTGGAAGGCTGAGTGGGACAAGGTGTGTCCTGTGCCTTCCCTCCAGGGGCGAGGAGGAGAGGACTTCTGAAGGGTCCAGGCCCCTGGACTCCTCCTCACCGGGGCGGCCCCACGGCCACGAGCCTGAGCTCACTGCCTGCCGCCTGCCCATGGCTTTGCGTGGCGGGGCCCCGGACACTGAGGTCGTTAATGTGGTGCTCAGGAGCCAGGCGGCCTGGCTCAGGGTCCCGGCTGTGCTCAGGGGCTGCCCACCTTCTTGTCACTGCTCCTGGTTCCTCATCCGTAAGGGAGGGACGATGCTGGGGCTAAACCCTGGGCCATTCAGAGGGTCAAGGTAAATGAGGGATGTCCAAGGTCACCATCRCCCGGCCACATCAGGCAGAGGACATGGGAAGGCCAGCTGACTGTCCCCTCATCTGCCTCCCAGCTGACGGGGGCCTCAGACACAGCTCCTCCCAGGTGAGGCCAGGGGTGGGGGCAGAACACGAGGAGGGAAGTCGGGGTTTCTAGCCCCGCTGCTGGGATCCAGGCGCTGCCCAAGTTCACGACCACACTCAGGCTCCCCGCAGGACTGACAGCCCAGACGGGGGGCAGGGTCCCTCCATCCCAGCCCTGCCATGCAGGGTCGTCCCTCTGCCTTGCTGGGGGACACAGGACCTGTGGAGGGGACTTGCAGACGCACTGTCACTTTGGAGCGCCCGAGACGGGTTTTGTAAAGCAGATCTCCCTGGGTCGACCTTGGCCTGAACATGCCCCACTTCCTCCTGTGGAGCAGGCACAAGAGGTCGGAGGAGAACAGAACCTGCTGACATTCTGCTGACAAAGCATTCTGTGCCCTAGTGTGCGGAGCCTGGTTGGTGTCAGACAAGGTCGTGCCCCAGGTCACAGGGCTGCAGAGCAACGTGGCTAGGGGACAGCCCAGGGTCCCTCCAACCCCGTTGGGTCCCGACAGCCGCCTCATGCTTCCCAGACTGAGTCAGAAATTCTCTTTTCTGAGCCCCAGTTTGTGCCATGAACTGGGGTGGATTTCAAGGGTGTCGACACAAACTCGACGAGGCGCCACCATTGCAGAGAGGCCGCATCCGCAAATGGGACAAGCTCCCGGCAAGGGGCGGGYAGCCTGGCTGTTGTTCAGAGCTTCCTGGAAGTGTCTCACCCACCGACACCATCACAACTCCACCAAGAAGCAGGACCTGCCTGTGTGTCCCTTCTCAACCCCCAGGTCGCAGTCCCTGTCCTCCAGGGGACTGCATCTGGAGACAGGGCCTCAGGAAGGGGGTGAATGAGGTCAGGATGTGAAAAGGCTGAATCCCGTGATCTGGGGACCCTTGGGGATCTCTTGCTGTAGGCAGAGAGGAAAGGCCAGYGAGGGGGGTGAGAACAGGCCAGGAAGAGCCCTCGCCAGACCCCGCCTGCTGACGCCCCATTCTGGGTGTCCAATCTAGAGCTGCCAGGAGAGCGATTTCTGCCTTTGAGCCCGGCCGGGGGTGCTGGACTCCGGCCACGCTGGACRGGTCAGGGCTGAGGCTTCGGCCGATTGTACAGACGAGGAAGCTGGGCAGGGTGGGCTTCGGTGAAGCAGGTGCCCACACTCCTAAGGGATGGAGCCCCAGGCCAGATGTGGCCAGGCCTGGAGGAGGTGCATCTTTATTCCCACCCCCAGCCCCACCCCGCCTCACTCTGGAAGGACAGCACCTCCCTGACCCCCCACCTGGTCTTGGCCRGGTCCTTGCTTCTGCCCAGGGTGTGGGCAGTTGCAAGGTGTGTGGCCTCTGGGAAGAAGGCTGGAAGGCCACCACTCCTTGGTGCGTGGTCCCTTCTGTTGTGGAATGGACCTGGCACGCCCCAGCGAGTGGCGGCCTTCAGCCTGGACCTGAGGCTGAGAGGACCCAGAGAAGAGGCCAATCCACTGCCACCTGCAGGCAGCCACAGCTGGCTCCCTGTCACCTGAACAAGATCTCTGGGGGGGTCTGTGATGCAGCMGAGCGGACCAGCACACACCCACTTCCCACTCCAGGATCCCTGAGCKGGGGCTCAGGACATCTGCCTTCCACGCGGCTTTGCCACTTAGCAGCTCGGTGGCCGTGCAGGAGCACTTTGTGTCTCTGAGTCAGTTTCCTCATCTGCAGAGGTYACTGCAAGGACTGTGAGAGGTGGCACAGCGCACGCCTGACCAGAAGAGTTGGAGTGGGGTGGTAGGGCGGCAGTGCTGGGTACRCGGCTGCGTGGCGGCTGCGGCAGGGGCTGGGTCCCAACCCAGTGCTGCTCTTTCAGCAAATCCTCAGGCCAGCGCTCCCACTGTGTGGGAGGTGGGCGGTGCAGGGCCAGCAGCCAGAGCTGGTCCCCCAGGCAGGCGGCAGGAAGGAGCTGGGAGGAGGGGAGAGGAAGGCTGGGCACCCCAGGGGACACAGTCACAGAAGCACAAAAGGCCAGGTAGGGTGGGAGGGCTGGTGGAGGGTCTGACTCCTCTCCCCAGTGATGTCCCCAAGGTCACACAGCTGGCCAGCCTCAAAGCCTGGACCGGAGCCCCAGTCTCCTGAGGCCAGCCTGGGCATTACTCCACTTCCTCCTGCTCCCTTAGCAGGAAATGAGACTGACCCCTTCCACCGGCTTGAAGGCCCATGTCCAGCTCTGCCACCTCGTGGGTGGACTAGCTTGAACTTGGCACCATTCCACAAGCCCTTGTTGGAGTCATTCAAAACCACTTCCCTTCCCTTTGGGGAAAGAGTCGAGCCTTCCCTCCCTCCGTCCCTCGGTGCTGGGGGTTAGTGGGCAGGGAACCCGGAAGCCCATTCAGGACACAAAATGGGCACTGTGGTTTCTGGTTGGTTTCACCACGTGCCCCGCAGTAGGTAACCTGGGGGAGAGTGGCCAGGGAGGGTAGCGCTCAGCCCTTGAGAGGATGGGACAGGATGCCATGTGCCAAGAAGAGGGGGGCAGCCAGCAAGCTGGGCTGGGCAGGACCTGGGAAGACGGAAAGAACATGCCTACAAGGGAGCAAGGGAGACCCAGACCCCAGGTGTGCTGTCCTCTGTCCTGGGGAAGGGCAGTGGGAAATGGGTGGGAGACTGTGATATCAAACTTCAGGCCATGGGGTGGCAGCGAGCCTCAGTTTCCCCATCTGCTAAGTGGGGAAACGAAGGCTAGCCTCACGGACCCCGGACTGTGGCCAATGACATAAACATGGAATAGTGCAGAGCAGCTGCTGCGGACATTTGGAGTTGAGCTGYCAGGAGCAGCAGCCACTGTTGGGAGGCAATCCCCGGGGGTCCCCTGCACTGCCTCCCATCTTATGAGCAGAAGCACCAGTGACCTTTCCCTGGACTGTCCTCCCACGGTGTGCAGAGCAGGGCACGTAGGAGAAAGGCTGGCGAGGTCTGCTTGTAGCCCCTTTAAAAGAATATGGTCCACATCTCTCCAGCCATCCCACAGGGCCCGGGGGCTCTGGGTAGCCTGACTTCACCAAGGAAATGAAACCCGAAACCTGCTTTTCCAAGGAAGTGGCTTCAAGGGTCACTGCGGGTAACTTGCTACCTAAGGAAGGCCCAGCAGCAGCTCTAGATGACCAGCCCTGCCTCTCTGCACTGGCTGCTCAGGTTTCCTGCTGTCTACTGGCCAGCCAGGGGCCCAACAGGACTCCCTCCCGGGCCACCGCCCTGGAGAGCCCACAGGTCCACTGAAGGACACAGGCTGCACGAGGCTGCAGCGGCTTGCCCTGCAGGAGCGGTGCTCCTGGGCCCCACACGGATCAGGCGGCAGGACCCCTCCAGGGGCGGACACGTCCTTGCCCAGGCACTGCTGCCTGGTCCCCTGCCCGGATGCTTGCTCACAGTCCCTGGAGACCACATCCCTGCCTCCAGCTCCAGGGAGAGGAGCTGAGACCCTGCAGGAGGCCAGGCTGAGAGCAGCGGCCATCAGGAAAAGCCAGCCTCCAAAGTGGGTGCTCTTCCAGGTTCAGAGAGTTTTCCAAGAGCAAGATCCTGAGCAGGTTCCTGATCTAGGCTCTTGGCTCCTGTAATGGCTCATTGGAATTCTCAACCTGATTGGATTAAGAGAGGCTGAGGACTAAAGGGCTATGGGTGTGTCCGTGAGGGTGTGTCTAGGAAGGATTGGCACGTGGGACAGCCAACTGCAATGAAGACCCTCCTAAGGCGGGCTTCTAAAGAGAAGCCAGAAATCACTGGTCATCCCAAGAATAACCGAGAACCACTGAGTCTCCAGAACACACCAAGACTTTTTTTGGATGCTGGTGATACCAAGGCAAACCAG